CTATTTAGCATGTGTTTTGCCTGACATCTCAATAGCTAATGTTTGTTTATAACTGAATATACCCAAAACTTTGCCAGTGAACACGCTGTTATTTTTCACAATTCATAATATTCTTGGGAGGCTATGTATTAATTTAGCCGCTCTTAGATGAAATCGTTCAATCTCTAGGGGCACCCAGCGTCAATTTTCGGAAAATATCTGTTCGCGAGACGATTTAAGATCTAGAATTTCGGAACATTTGTTGTATAATTTCTTGCTTGCCAGTCTTTCCAAGGATTTTCGAACATCTAAAAAAAAAATGGTACAATTGCCCATTTTTAACGGATTTTTACCCTAAAAAGGTCACCTAGAATTTTCGGGAACCTTTTTCTGGCTGAAATTTCCGAAAAGGTAAGTTTTGATCCCTTTAATTTTCGAATCACTATACTGGACTTTCAGCTAGGAAATCCGAACAGATGAAAAATTCTTAGGGGATAAAAATATGCCTATATCTGCCGTTTAAATACTAAAATACATTCAACAATGTTATGTTTAAGTGGTTTTGAACTATATTCTTGTTGGTTGCCCTCGAATTTCGGCAAAAGTAGCAAGAGAACAGCTTCCCGACACTGATATGGAGAAAGTTCCATGAGGAAGTATAGTCTATATATACCGCATTTTTTCGCTTATAAAGCGCAGCATTTTTTCAACAAAAGTTTGCTTGATAGCTCTAACTCTGTTGTGATTTCGGGATGCATCTTATAACTGGCAGACTCTGTCGAACTTTTGCCGCACAAAACACCTTTGCCACACCTAGCTAAAACTGCCGTACCAAAAAAAAGAAATTGATTCAGACGCCGCTCTTTTGTCGTACTTTCATCAATTAGGTTCGGCACATGAGTGGAGCGGTGTCTTAGCAGGACCTTAGTAACCAATCCCAAAGGCTACCAGTTATGCCGCAGGCTTGCAACTCATAGCCTAGGATGTTATGGTCTACGGAATGAAAGGCTTTCTGAAATCAATAAAGATTGCTCCAATTACTTTGCCATCGTCTTATGGATAGCTTCCACATCGCTGTAAGGTATAATAACAATGATTCAGATGATAGACCCTTTCTGTAGCCCCACTGGTTCCGTTGCAAAACACATCTCAAGTGTCGGTCTTAAAATTCACATTTGATATTTTGCTGCGAATACTTAGCAATATCAAAGGTCGGCAGTTACCACTCCAGTCCATTTCATGTTTTATCACATGCCGGAAACATCTGGTCTTCTCTGCTACCAAAAGGGGAATCCCCGGCTATACGAGCATTCAGTTGCGTCATGTGTGATCTTGCCTAAATGATAAAGGAAGTGAGTGGAACTGAATTTAGCTAAAGGGTGTTCATAGTCCCCTTTTTCGAGATTTGTCCTTTTTGGGTAAGGGGATAGGAAGTGTCTGTGCCTAAAAACGTACGGCTACTAATTTGTACTCTTCGCAATCCATCTCTGCAGTCATGGGAAACATTGGAAAATGTAACTGTAGGTGACTAAGAAAAGTCTTGTAGGCTTTCAGTACCAGCCCTGCTGTTGACATAGGTCATAAAGAACAAAACCTTTATCGTAGTATTTTTGGATATATTGTAGAATTTCGCTTTCGGTCTACCCACAGCGAAGAATCAGTTGAAATGCAGTAGAAGAACGAATGAACATTTGCAAAGTGCTATAAACCAATATAAACAGCTAATGCTTTGAACGGCTGATGCCGCTTACATTTTCATATGGACCAATCTAGGTCTGCAGTGGAAAGTATAAAAGCTCAACAATGACGCCCAGCTACAGTGTACCCCGGGGGTAATTTAAGAATGGTCGGGTAGGGATATAATCAACACCACAGTCTTAACTTCAAAGTTTTGGGTTGCCTCTGTAGTTTCAAAGTTACTTTCTAGATGATGATCAAACGTAACCTAGCCTATCGCTAGCTAGATCCAGACCGTACTGAGTATTTTGAGAATTTTAGGGTGTTATGTTTATAGTCATATGACCAAAAATCTGCTGATAGTCACGAGACATTGTTGTCTGTACCTGTACGGAGTGAATTTAGGAGGTATGTACTCGCGTTTATTGTAACTGACTTTAGCTATAGGGTGTTCATAGTCCCCTTTTTTCGAGATTTGTCCTTTTTGGGTAAGGGGATAGGAAGTGTCTGTGCCTAAAACTTACGGCTACTAATTTGTACTCTTCGCAATCCATCTCTGCAGTCATGGGAAACATTGGAAACTGTAACTGGAGGTGACTAAGGAAAATACTTAGCAATGTCAAAGGTTGGCAGTTACCACTCCAGTCCATTTCATGTTTTATCACATGCCGGAAACATCTGGTCTTCTCTGTTAGCAAAAGGGGAATCCCCGGCTATACGAGCATTCAGTTGCGTCATGTGTGATCTTCCTAAATGATCAAGGAAGTGAGTGGAAGACCAAAATGTTATAATCAACACCACAGTCTTAACTTCAAAGTTTCGGGTTGCCTGTGTAGTTTCAAAGTTACTTTCTAGATGATGATCAAACGTAACCTAGCCTATCGCTAGCTAGATCCAGACCGTACTGAGTATTTTGAGAATTTTAGGGTGTTATGTTTATAGTCATATGACCAAAAATCTGCTGATAGTCACGAGACATTGTTGTCTGTACCTGTACGGAGTGTATTTAGGAGGTATGTACTCGCGTTTATTGTAACTGACTTTAGCTATAGGGTGTTCATAGTCCCCTTTTTCGAGATTTGTCCTTTTTGGGTAAGGGGATAGGAAGTGTCTGTGCCTAAAAACTTACGGCTACTAATTTGTACTCTTCGCAATCCATCTCTGCAGTCATGGGAAACATTGTAAAATGTAACTGTAGGTGACTAAGAAAAGTCTTGTAGGCTTTCCGTACCAGCCCTGCTGTTGACATAGGTCATAAAGAACAAAACCTTTATCGGAGTATTTTTGGATATATTGTAGAATTTCGCTTTCGGTCTACCCACAGCGAAGAATCAGTTGAAATGCAGTAGAAGAACGAATGAATATTTGCAAAGTGCTATAAACCAGTATAAACAGCTAATGCTTTGAACGGCTGATGCCGCTTAGATTTTCATATGGACCAATCTAGGTCTGCAGTGGAAGGTATAAAAGCTCAACAATGACGCCCAGCTACAGTGTACCCCGGGGGTAATTTAAGAATGGTCGGGTAGGGATATGCCACTGGGACCCCGGAACCTTTACTCTAGACCTGACCTAGTAAGTTCGGCTGAATTTTGCTACCCTAAACTAGACTAAGCCTCCAACATCTCTCCGCATCCTAGAGTAGCTATTTTCAGGAAATTTCATACTGGGGTGAACACTTTGTTTGCTATTTAACTGAATTAATTGCAGGTAAATTCAGATTTTCCGATTTCCGGTTCCCCTAGCCTAGCGTAAAATCTTCAAGCCATTGACCACGGAGTTTTTGGAAAAATGACATCCTTTTTTTTTTAGACACAACCTCTCTGATTCTATACCCTACCCAGAGTAGGTTGAAAAACCAGACCCTTAACCCTTTCACTGCCAAATGTGGCCAAAGGCAAATTTCGACCAAATTTCTAAAATTTTGACAAACAAATAGCATCATGTGAAAGTACAGGCAGAGATCTTTCATTTGAATGGTCACATCATAGGATTTCGTCCATAGACTGAAAAGGTAGAGTCACCTTACAAAATTCCATCAAACACCCTGGCAGTGAAAAGGGTTAAAAGCGGCACATACCTATAAACTGATTTCATGTATGGCAGTACCCCCTGGCAGTATACCCGCCAGATAGGCCACTGACAGGCATATGTACTCAAGGCAAGCACAATTTGCAGTGTTAGTGTGAATAAAATTACATGACTAGAGATTATTCTTTGTCTATCTGCATGTCTTGGTAAACAAGGCGGGTCGGCTAAGACAATCAATTAAGAAGAAAAGAATTTCTTTAATTATCAATGTTATTAGTAGTACTGGCTAATATTTTTTCTTTTTTCCCCCTCTTTCCAGCGATCATGAAAGTATGCTGTGGTGCTGTTAAAACGATAAAGGGTGCTGCCGCATTGGCTGTCGCATTTTTGTTCGCTTTTGCCTTGTTTAGACTGGTTGTCGACATCTCCAGATTCGGTACAGGCTGTGCACAGGATTATTCAATCTGTATCGTTTTTGTAGTAGGCCTAGTTGTTGGAGTCCCTATGTTGATCATCTTATGGATGTTACAACGGAAAATGGTATGAGCTAAATTTGTACTTAGATTCAACTGCAGTTGCAATACTACTGAAACAGGTACTTCGCGAATTCAAAGATACGCCTGTCGGTTACAGCACACAAAAACACGTGAACTCTGAAGTTCAAAAGCCAGATAGTGCTTCCGTTCTTCAGTCCTGACAATCATCTTAGCAGACCTCTCAGGAAACAGAAATTGTCTTCAACGAGTTCAAAAGTTCGTGGTTTGTGGTTTATGATTGGTGGATTTCGATCCATGTTTTGGTTTTCTGTGTTTCGCAGTAACGACTTAGGTCACGTGGTTTTGTTTGTCAAACCAAAAAGGTGAGCTCACGTTGTACAATGGCACAGGTACTAGTTGGAGATAAATGCTAAAAGTAGTACTGATTCAGGCTTCGAAGGCTTTTTATAGACATTCAAAGTTATATAAGATTGTTTACTGCTAAGTAGTGTAAAATCAGCTTGTGGATGATAAGTGACAAGTAATAAGGAAAACAATAGCAGCGCGCTTTATCACTGGATAATGTTCCTTTATTAGTGGGAAGCCACTAATCCAACATCTTTTAGAGCAATCGGTGCGAAGGATTTTTATAACGTACAGTGTTATGCACGAAACGGTTTCTATTTATGCTGCCTTTGTTTAACCACTACGCCACTACGTTTTGCTCTTCCCTTTCAGCCTATCTATTTCCCAGTCTCTTGTGGTCACAGAAAGTTAATATTTACCGGAACAAGTTCCAAATCTCTTGAAGAAATACTTTTGTGCGTTGAACAAAATATCCCGACAGAAGAGGAACTTCGTCACTTGAAAGAAGGAGCTCAATGTTATCTGAATGATATCAAGGTTCAGCTGGAAAAGGCAGCAGGAATGCAAATGAAGCTTATCTTTTCAGGAAGTACGGCTGAGAGATACGGAATCCCACGGATGCTGTTAGGTAATAGCTGCTGCGCTGGTCTCAGTCTTGGTTCTCTTCACACTGATCTTGACGTCATGATTTGCCCCATGGCAGTAAGAGCTTGTTTTTCAGGTCAAGGGGACATACATTTGGCACCCTTTTTTTATCGATGGCGTCAAGGTTATTGGATACACTAAGCTATTTTGCCTTCCTCCTACGCACAAAACGATTTGGAGGAGCCCTATGCTTGTCATAAATAAAGTCAAAGATGCTGTGAAAAGCACCCCTCTTCTCAATTTTCCTAAGAAACCATGGTATGTTTTGGTGCCAAAAATACATGTCGAATCCAAGGGGCCAGCATTGAAGATTACCGTGCCTGCTGGTTTTGAGTTGGACGTCACATTTTGTTTCTACTGCCCTGAGTGGCCAACCAATAGTGACTGGCCTTCTCGACCACGCTACTGGCCTAGTATGGCTGATGCGCAGAGGATTATGTCACTTGGCTGTCATGTGGTAGCAAAGTCGGCACCATGCGACAAGGAGAACAAAAGCTGGAGATTCTCTTTCTCTGTGGCAGAATGTGAACTATCTAAGCTAGTACCAGATACTGCAAAGAAATGTTTCTTGGCATTGAAAATCATCCTAAAGGACCATCTCCAGCCCGTAGTTCCTGAAATCGGTTCATACCACATTAAAACTATTTTTCTTAACACTATGGAAAAATTACCAGTCGGTTTCTGGGCAGACGAAAACATTGAAAGATGCTTTCTAACATTACTGAAAGAGCTTCGCATTGCCCTTCGGACAATGAAATGCCCACATCATTGGTTTAGTTCCATCAATTTGTTTTCAATTAAGGCTGAGAAGTTGCAACTTCTTGCTAAGAAAGTGCAAAGAATTCTACAGGATCCATCTCCTTTTATCTTGGACGATGGCTGCTGCTGCGTCTCGTCATGTTGTGTGCGTGTACCGGAGGAGCACTCTACCTCCCGGGAAATCCAAGAAATCATTGCCGATTTCGAAGAGAGTCCCATTTGTGTGCGGGCCAGTGACGACGGTATGTGTCGAGAAAATAATTTTGTGGACCTTTGGCATGATGTAAATTCGCCCAACGTACACAAGGTCAGCGTAAAGGTAACTCCAAACAAAGAGCAAAATCCCTCCCAAAGGATGGAAGACCACCAAATTTTGGCAGATGATTTGGACCTGCTTATTCAGGACGTGTAACTTATACTGTAAGAAGTACGGTTGTAATCATGGCTTAGCGTATAGTCAACTTTTGTGAAAAGAATCATTTTAGGTTCCTTAGAAACGGATTCACTCGTGATTATCAATACTACGCCAAGAGGGAAAGATTTTCTGATGAACAGAAAAGGTTTTTTCCTGATAAACAGTTCTGAAAATTTGTCTACTTTATACTTGAGCTTAATAACTATGTATACAGCTGATCAAGTGTCTAAACTATTAGAGTAACGAGGGGAGAACAAGACCCCCTTAGAGGGGATTCATTGGGCTGCCGACAGCACGATGCAGTGGCGTAACATTTTGAGAAGTGTAGATTACAATTAAGCTTTTTTTCTGGATTGAGTGTATAACTACTCCTAACCGGTTAAATGGGATAGACACATATATACTTAGCCTTTTTAAACAAGAGGCGATTGGCGTTACTTTAACTGGGACATTAATTTCCCCAATGTCTATGCCTCCCAAAATAAAGCTTAACAGTATAGCAGTATAACGTGACGATTTTGATTAACCTTTAAGCTATCGGTCTCTTAAGGTCGTACTTCTTAGAAAGAACAAATAGTGTTAGAATTGGAATTGAGACTTCGAGCGAATGGAAAGCAATGTTTAGAGGCTGTCCCTAACGCTCAAATTTTGGACCACTCTTATGGAATGTTTTCCAGAACGACCTGATCTACAACGCTTTGCACAAGCAGCATCAAGATGCACGCAGATTACCATCAAATTTATGTTAGTGGTGAAAAGATGGGAGATGTGGAAACGGGACTTTAACGGACGAGGGAAGGGAAATCTCAAACTGGTACCAACTCAATTTGTTGAAAATAAATGTAATCGTGACAAATTTCAATCGATGAGTTTAAGGCAAAGGCACTCAAACGAAGTAATGAAAATCAAAGTCTATGACAAATACGTAGAAAGTGGTCCAGAAATGAAGGTATTGGGTGTCACCTTTAATGAGCAGCTGAAGTCTAATAGCCATTTAGATGAACGAGATAGGATAATGATCGAGTTACGAGTCTGAGTTGAATTAGAGTTGAGTTTGAGTTAAGTTTGAGTTAAGATTGAGTTGGGTTTGAGTTAGCTTTTTTAGCTTTCATTTTTATTTTATTTTTTAATTTTTACACTTTGAGAATGCAAATGATGGCAAATATTATCAGCGTTACACATATTTTTGCATGTAAAGTGCGCAAATACAATTATTTTTCAATTTTACAAGGGAAAGGGTGTAGACAGCCACACCTCCCCTCCCCAGCAGCCTTGGAATCCCGCCTTTAGTAAGGATCCTTGACCACATTCTGAACGCCTGGAACAGGCTTATTAATAATAAGCACATTATTTCAGTACTAAAAGAACGTATGATTACAATCGCTTAATTCCTGTTATCATGTTCCCTGATTTCACCAAGAAGATCAAGACTGCTGCAGAAAGCACTCTTTCAACAATAAATTATTCTGAAGAAGGCTGAAGTGAATTAACAAAACATCCTCTTCGTCAATCTCCGAAATACTTTGTGCACAATAGTTCTATATTTTAAAACCGTGACTTGCTCTATTTTGTTTTTTTGAGATCTTGGTTTTTGTGCTGTCAGTATTGAGAAGTATAAAATACGCACTGCGAACTGGGGACTGGGTATTAAAAAACGAACGGAAATACTTAAGGCAGATTAACAATAAAGTAACTTGATAAAATTGCCAATAAATATAGTAAACTGACCGTGCACCACACTTTTTGGTGGATTTAGGAATGACTATGCGATTGTCTCGACTTCGATTTCAGCGAAAATACCCATACAGTCTCAAATGGAGACAAGAGCGATGATTGTAGAGGTCGTTCTTCAAATTCAAGAAAATCAAATAGACTATACTGGTCACGTAAATTCTTAATGCCACTTCTTTACTTTATTTCTTTAACGATATCATTTTAGTAAAAACTAGACAGCTATAAATCGTACCTTACTTTGGCAGAGAAAATGCGTGAATGATCAAAGAGTTGCGACTATAAAAAAGGCCCTATTTTTTCCGTAAGGTAACATTGTTGAAATCGAGCGCACGTGCTCGATCTCTACGTCGATCTTACGGTAAAATAGGGGGACCTAACTGTAGCAAGTTATGCAAACCGCCTGAAACGTATCAAATAAACAGTGATAAATTGATATCCTAGCATTAAATGAAGCTGGCGTGATCGAAAATTAAAGCCGAGTTTCTATGGGAGCCCAAGAGTACATAGGACATTGGGTCTTCTTCGTTTTGATGAAAATACCAGCACACTATATCGGGAAAACTCAGTAGTGTTTCGATCCTAAGCAATGCAACATGACAGAAAAACCCTTGAATTTGAAGCCGATTCTGATGGTAACAATGTTACTTTAAATAACAGAGAGCACTTTGCATTGAAAAATCTGGGATCAGGAGTCCAAGCGACAATTAGTGCAATTGGAAACCGCAAGATTAGAACATGCACGATGGAATGCTACAAAGTCAGTCGCAAATGCATTAACAACCGTGGGAATTAAGAGAACAGTTACTGGTCCATTTTTTCCTTCGCTTTTTGCAAATTTTTTGCACAATGCTCCTTATAAAATTATTCTCTTTTGTCATCGGCTAGGAAGAGAGATCAGTTGAAAAGGGACGATACCGGGTATCTAGCGACTGACAAAGAGGTTTTATGTTTCAATATATTGCTTTTCTATAAAAGATCATCTTATATTCATAGAACATATATGTGAAGAGTGCTCTCCATTGCCGTGTGCCCATGAAGAGTATCGTTTCTCAATGCAGGAGTGTACCTACCCGCACAAGTCATAAAAAATTAATAACAAAGATTAATAAATTAATGAATAAATAAATTAATAAACGGTGAAAAACATTTCTGTGCAAAAAGGGCATTTTTTTGGTAACTCAATCTTAACTCACACTGAACTCAAACGTAACTCTAACTCAACTCAAGCTCGTAACTCGATAAACAGCCTATCCCGCATTGACAAATCTTTTATTTTCCACAATTAATTTATCGTCAGACGGTATGGCACTTTTGAAGAAAATCTGATAGCCCGAAGATTGAGAGACTCCAAGAAAGAGCGCATACAGGGTGTTTCAAAAGTTCTTTCCGATTGTAAATTGTATTTTGCGCAAAGCATTTAATGCTTCTTTAGGCAAATGTAAAATGTTTCAGGTAAGAAATTTATCTAAATAAACGTTCAAAGCAATTTCAGACTAAAGTTTGAAGAAATAATAATTTTTTTTTAATTTTTGCCCAACTGTACACGCACGCGAGTTCCCCCCCATATTCTTTTCTGCCCATTTTGTAGGTTTTCTGTTTTGGTATTTTTAACGTTTTATTTTATTTTCTCTACTCCTTCATGAAAATGATCAGGAATGATGGCTTGCACTGTTTGTGCTAGAGCTCAGGCATCTATTTTTATGGTCTTCTGGCCATTCAGTCCAAAACAAATGCCAAATTGTTGAAGAAGTCTGAACGATGACCGAACAAGTGGTCAAAAGTAAAGACCTTAGAAGATGAACCAAGGAGTGGATGGCCGTTTTTTCACAAACTGTGTGAGAAATATTATAGAAAAAGCTGTAAGTATATGTGTAATAATTCCACAAAACAGAAAGGTAAAAAAATTTCAACTTCACATTATCGATCAAAGTTTCGAGCACAACGGTATGGGGAAAATTTACAAAAAAAAGTTGGAAAGCCTTGAAGAGAAAAAGGTGGGGCACACTTCATGCAATCATGGTGTCAGAAGGATTTGCCAACTTTATACCAAGGGAGGACCCGCCGGCAAACTCACGTGATTTGAACCCCCTAGACACCATCTGGATTATCGTAGACGAGACAACATACAAAGATCCAGCCCCGAAAACACTGGACGAGCTAAGACAGTGACTACTCTTCGCCTGGAAGAATGTGACTTTGGACACGCTTTGGGAGCTCGCTCGCATTCACCTCTTAGAAAATGTCAGAAAACATACAAGAAGACATTCTGTTTACTAATATTTTAGTTATTCAATGTTAAATGAATAATGAATAACATACTAAGTTTTACAAAAGGTTTTTTTGTTAATAATTAGTGAAATTTAAGCGAATAAAAAATCGGAACGAACTTTTGAAACACCCCGTAGATCAGTCTACTGTGATAAAAGTAGTGCATACAAGGAACTTCTTGTAAGGGCTAAACTCTCCTCACTGCTAAACCATAGGCTGAAGGAAATAGCAATAATAAAGTACAAAGTTAAGTATAATTTATGCCCTAGTTATATATCCGATATTTAACAGTTAATGAATGAGGCTGAGTATCTTATGAAGAATTATGGAGATCAAGGAGGGTGTTATCCGTCGAGGCCGTAGGCCGAGGCGGATAACACCCTCCGAGATCTCCATAATTCTTCATATGATACGAAAGCCGAATTCAATAACTGTTTTATTATTCATTCAAAATAATTCCTAGTTTAAAAACATAGCTAAAACATGCTTACCTCCATCGATCCATCGATGTTCACTTATCTTCGATAGTGTAAGTTTAGGTTTGTCCAGCTCCGCAAATATTCTCCAAATAGCAGATGTCGCCCTTCGAGCTGTCTTCTTGCTGTTCTTGCCATGTTTTTAGCTATTTTTTCGCCTACTTCTTACTTTTGAAACGAGTGAAATGTCCACCATTTTTTCAAGTTCACAACCAAAACAACTCAACCTCGTCCCCAGGTCTTCTCGGTTAACGGTGCCTTAACTTGCGAAAACGCTGCATTTTTGACGTCATTTTCTCGTTAAAGTCAAATTTCTTCCAAATTTGGTCATCA